TGGTGGCTATTTAGGCTGGGTTTATTTCCTGTTGTGAACAGAACAGCAGTAAACATGGATGTGCAAATATGTCCATGGTAGGATATAAAGTCTTGGTATATGCCCAGAAGTGTGAATGGGATATTTTTTCTCATTTTGTGTTCAGCAAGTTCATTGTTGTATATGTGAAAATATTGATTTTATATGGGCATTATGTATCCTGAAACTTTATTATGAACACTGTATTTAATAAAAGTGAAGGTGATACACACCTTTATCTCATTTCATATTTTAGAATGCTCTAAGTTTTTCAACTTAGTATAGTGTTGGCTTCAGACTTTTCATAGGTAGCATTTAATTGTATTGAGGTATGTCCCTTAGATTCCCCCTTTCTTCTGAACCTTTATTAAGAAGCTGTGTTGAACTTTATAAAATGCCTTCTCTGTATCTATAGAGCTAATCAGGTTATGTTGATAATCATACTTGGCAGTGCTGCTGTCCACATGGAATTGACTTTGGAGGAATGAAGGATGCAAAATTTAGTGGGTCCTGAATTCTTCCCCCGTGGTTTCAAATAACCTCTAGGTCAGACAAAGTATGGCAAGAAAGTTCACCCATGAATGTTCTGAGAGGTCAATTGGCCCTGAACGGCCACTGTAGAAAGAGAGTGCAAACAGCCTGACAGGGAATGGTGTTGTGGGCAGCAAAATCAGAGGGTTAGAGCCATACAAGCCCTCTGACATCAGACATGGAGCTATGGAGGTATTGGATGTTGGAATTTGTCCTTCTGGATTTCCATCTTCCATCGGTCTAGTATTTCCTTACTATGCCCCATTTGTTACTTTTAGAATGGGAATGAATATTATGTGCTATTGTATGTTAGATATAATTACTTTTTTTACAGTGTGTTACAACTAAGAAATTGCCTTGATTGTAATGCTCCTGATGGGCTCAATGTAATCATAAGGATCAATTTAATCTGAAGAGACTTTGTTTTTTAAATATTATTCTGACTGTGAAAGACTATGGGGAATCTGGAAGTTGAACTAAATGAATTTTGCTTTATGATGTGGGCATTAAAGCTAGGGAGTAGAATGTGGTAGATTGAGTGAGGTGTCCCCCATGAGTGTTGAGATTTAGAATACTTGGTCCCTAGTGGGTTGCTGTTTGAGGAGTATTATGAGGGTGGAGGAAGTATGTTAGTGGGTGTGCACTTTGAGGTTTCAAAAGCCATGTGCTACCTCCAGTTTGTTCTCTTGGCTTCTTGTTAGTGGTTGGACTTATGTGCATTCAACTGCCTGATGCCTGCTACCTGCTTTAATCCACCATCAAGGACTGTAGCTCTTTAAATCTGTAATCTCAGTATACCCTTCCTTCTGTAAGTTATGTGGGTCATGGTGTTTCATCATAGAAAAATATCTAATACACACTTCAAGGATCTAGGGAGAAAAGAGGTCAATCCCAAACCCAGTACATAACAAGTCATAATAAAGATTAGGGATTGAAATAAATAAAACACACATTGAAAGAATAATACATGATATTAACCAAATAGTTTGTTATTTAAATAGATAAGATGAAAAAACTCCATAGCTAAAATAATCAAAAGAAAGAGAAAGAAGCCTCAAATTAGTGAAATTAAAGATGAAAAGGGCTTTGTTAGACTTCAATGAAATTAGGATTATTAGAAAACAGTATAAAAATTATAAAGAACTTGGAAAACTGTAAGAAATAGATTAGTCTCTAAACACATATGCCTTATTGTACTAGTTCCTTTTCTGCTGCTGTGAGAAAACACCACAACCAAAGGCAGCTTGAAGAACAAGGAATTTATGGTTCCAGATGAATAAGTGTCTGTCATGGCAGGGAGGCACGGCAGCAAGCATGGGCTTGGCAGCAGAAGTGGGAAGCTGAGAGCTCAATCACATTCTGCAACATCAAACACAATGCAGAGAAAAGAATCTGGAACTGGGGTGAGGCTATAAACGCTCAAATGGCAACCCCAGTGATGTACTTTCTTGATGAGGGCCATGCCATGCTAAATAGTACCACCAACTGGGGACCAAAAACTCAGTGAACCTACAGGAGACGTTGACATTCAAGCCAATACATTCCACTCTGTGACCCTGAGAGGTTTATGATCACATCATAATACAAAATGCACTTAGTCAAACTTTAAAAGTCCTCACAATCTGTGACAGTCTCAAAACTATTTAAAATTCCAATGTCTCTTCTGAGATCCAAATAAATGTCTTATCTATAGCCTCCTGTAACATCAAAAAGCAGATCACATATTTCCAACATAAAAATGGCACAGAATACACATTACCATTCCAAAAGGCAGAAATGGGGGGTTAGTAAGTAAATAATGGAATGA